TTAAGATAAGAATTTTCAGTCAAAATTTACCAGTTTCAATACGAGACAACTCATCCTTCATCGAGAATATACATAAGTACACAAGGATAAACTCGTGTACTTACAACGGGCGTAAGTTCTAATATTAATACTTTTCGAGTTCTAAACAAGTTTTACCCTCCGGAAAAATAGTTATAGTCAATTTAAACTTAAATATAATATAAATAAAACAAAGCTTGGAGTCATAAGTCTAATTTCTCTTTTTATTAGCGAGGTTGCGATCGAAGTTTTCATCTCTAAAACGTGAGCTCGACGTTCGACGTTCACGTTTTAGAGATGAAAACTTCATCCGCAACCTCTCTATTTAACACTTTCGAGAAGGTAACGAGATTTCTGGTGAAAGGTAACTAACTTGTAAGTAAAAAATTAATTCAATTGTCGTCTCCTCGGTGAAAGCTCGAACCCTGCATTGTTACACCTCTCCATTCGGTTTGAATATGGAAATTGTAACCCGGAATGTTAAACGTTCGATTCGAATGGATGAAAATGTAAAAATCTATGCGATTAATTACTGTAAATAACAAAAAGGACATGAGATTCTATGTAACTCAGACAAACTTTTGCACCGACCGATGATTCCCCCCCCACCGATTTAAATAACGATGTATTTTGTACCCAAATTAGATTACGTATTGTAAATATTTTGTACTAATGTAACTGCAATAAATATTAATTTAAAAATATTTTTACTCTATTATAATAAAATTGTTTATTTACAAAATATAAAATGGTCTCTCTCGGTTTTATTTTCAATGGTCACTGGTGGTTTTTAATAATTTTTCTTCTTTCCGACTGTACATTTTAGATCGTTGCCCAGAGCAAAATCTTAGTTATACCACTGGATCAATCTGTTAGAATTTTATTGAATTATATCAAAAATTAATTTATAGAATAATGGGAACCTTGCGACAAACAGGTGTAAATTAATTTTAGAAAATAGAGATTAAAGTAAGGACTTCAATGGTACAATGATAATTCTTGTCCAACGTTGTTCCACAAGATAAACAAGAGCGGGGTCATTCACAAATTGCCATTTTCAGATTGGTGTCAAAGGCCTCTAGAACTTCTAAATTTTCGTGGTTTGACACAGATTATAGGTCGAGTGTTGTCAGAAGAAATCGGGCGTTAAACAGGATGGTAAGAGCAAAGATTGGTAACAGTGTAGCTGTGGGTAATTTTATTAAGCCCTTTTTAGCCAGCCCCACATTGGTGCGGCCGGATGATGAGGGACAGGGCCCACATTGGTGCGGCCGGATGGTGAGGGACAGGGCCCAGGAATTTTTGACCCAACCGGATCTGATCCCGGGTCCCCGGAGCGGTAGACTGCCACCTTGACCGCTCGGCCATCCGGCCCATCTTAACCTGTCTCGTAAATAAAGTTTCACTGATATCAATATAAATCAATAATTAAATGGTACCGCAGCATAATCTATTCATTACCCTCCTATTAATGGAAAACATGTGGCATGTTTCCTCCTGATAGAGACAGGAAGTTCAAGTGCTTTGACATATACTCTGAATGGGATAAGTGTGAAAAGCATCTGTACATAACCATACTACTGATGATGCAAGGTAATTCAGTATTTTTTTATTGTAAATTAGTTTGAGTGATTTGAATACAAACTACAATATCCTATTACTTTTTCATGTAGCTTTATTAATAAAAATATTTTGGAATATTTCAGCAGCTTCACACAATGGCAGGAATATCATTTATTACTAAAACATTTATTTACTTCTGTTATAACAATAAAACTTACAGAACCCTTTGTAAACATCTGCAAAAAAATAACATTTATATTGTAACATTAGCACCATTTACATCACAATTTTTAATGGGCGTACTTCATGGACATCAGGTATTTATTAATCCGAGAAGATTTCTTCTCTCTAGCTTCGATCATCTTGTGAATCGCTTTTGCCAAATCCAGTCCATACCAGTAGCTATCCACCCAAGATTCTTGAACCCATCTAGAATGGGAAAAAGAAAATTAAGAACTTTCTTTAACATGAAATACTTTGAGTATTAGTGCAAATATGAGTATTAAAGCAATATGCTACAGTCAATATACAGTGAATCTCAATAGTGTTACTCATGTAAAGTGCAATAAATGGGTCTTTCCCATAAATATTAAACAGGAAAACCTTTGGTATATCACCTGTCCCTCAGGCATATGATGCCTGAGGGACAGGTGATATACCAAAGGTTTTCCTGTGATGTACCAATATTATAAGTGATATACCAATATTATTGTAAATGACAAAGATATTACAGTTGTGGATATTACAGGTAATGCCACCAGAATGCCTTAAAATCACCATCCCAATGTCCTATAAAAAGTCTTGCAGAAGCTCACACTGTTCACAATTTTCACTGATCCACTAATGGACTGTTCCACTCAGCCCAATGATGTGGCATGTAAACGAATACATACATAGCAATCAGGCTGCGAAGACTTCAGTCAGATCATCAGGAGACTTGATCATCTGATTGTGGCAAAAGCTCAAACAGCCACAATGGTGTCTTTCTCTGCTATTCAGAGACAGGTGGAATCCTCACTACAGTAATCTATAGCTTTTATACCAATGGCAGGAGACTAGCAGAGAGAAGTATGTATATCCCATTGTATATCCCACCATTAGCACACTAATGTTGTTTAATAACCTTTACATTCCTGCCGCGATAAAAGCATACTGTCTTCAGTGATGAATCCTAGTTCTATTTAGGAACAGATGACTACCATGTTATTGTGTGGAGGACTGCTTCAATGCTGCCTTTAAATTGAAATAACATGACTTCAGGTTTGCATCAGATATTTGTATATAGTTAATTGGGACCTCCTGCCCCTAAGGTTTCCGTATCTGATTTCGTCTTTCATCTATTTTACGTCATTCTCGAGATTAAGGAAAGACAGACAGACGGAAGACAGTGGGAATTTGTGCTGTGCTAACCTAATCTGACCTGTGTGCTTTGTGCTAAGAAAGAATACAATGAATATAATTTTTCAATTCTAAACTATCAATGTCCCAATTTGCCATTAAAATCATAAAAATTGCTCAATTTATAGAGATTGTGTATGCTGGCTTATTTAAATCAAAGACATGGTTTCGAATTAATACAAAAACTGGAGAAGCGAATTAATGAGGTGAGGGAGAATGAGAAAAATATCTTGCAATGTTTTGTAGCTGTTATTAAAACTTTAGCTGTGCATGGGATGTCTTTTCAAGGAAGAAATAAAAAACTCTGACTTCTCACAAAACAAATTATAACTATCAGGTTTGAGTGTTTATATTTGTTGTAGCATTTTATAATAGCAAGGTTGTGGCCAAAGTTTTCAACGTGAAAACGTGAACGTCGGACGTTCAGCGCTGCCTTCCTGTAAGCCTAGAAGTTTGACAATGACATTTGGAACGTCAGTGGAATCATGATCAACATTCCAAACATCACTGTCAAACTTCTAGGCTTACAGGAAGTGTTGAACGTCCGACGTTCACGTTTTTACGTTGAAAACTTCGTCCGCAACCTCGCTAATATATGCTATTTCAAATTCTTGCATTCTTGGATAGAGAATATTTGAAAACTTAGCTAAAACGAGAGACAATATATAAGTAAATCTCTAAAAAATAACATACTGGTTTCCCAAAATGAAAAATTAAACTGAAAAGGAAAATCAGAAAACTAAGATCAGATGCTATTAAGCTGAAAGACGTGAAAGACGATAAGTGGAAAAACGAACGAGCAATTATTTATTGTGATATTGTTACAATGTCAGACTGCAATTTTTAATTTATTTAATTTAAAATATATGCTCTCCATCTCAATTTAGCAGTGGCTTTTCCTGTACATAATACTTTTCCTGATAGCAACAGAGTCATGCCTGTCATCTATCTAACTGCTTTCGGGGAAAAATTTTTGAAATGAAATAACGTGACTTCCGGTTTTATTTGGAAATTTGTATATAGTTAATTGAGGTCTCCTGCCCCTATTCTTCCCATTTCTGGCCTCTGCTTTCTTCTATTTAACACTATTCTTGTGATTAAAGAAGGTCAGACAACAGATGACAGTGGGAATTTATAAGTCTACAATTTTTTAAAATTGCAGCGCAAAAAGTCAAGAAAGACATAATAAAAAGATACCATCTTGATAACAGGAAAATACGGGACAGCATACAAATAAATAAATGGATGTCAACCACATAAACATATCTCGTTCTTAAAACCCTAAAAAAAAAAAAAGGCATCCAATTGTCACATCTTTAATTTACCATATTAAATTTTATGAAAAAGTTCTAGTTTTTATGGGAAGTTCTTTTGTGTTATAGCGTTACAGTATTTACCAATAATCAAGGTTTTTATGTATTAGTTGCCCTTGCGCATAAGCCACATATAATGAATTTTATAAATAATTTAATAGAATATCAGCGATGACCTATATTCGACTAAATTATTCGATATCTACATTCAATATCTACACAGCTGTCTCATGTTTTGGACGGATGATTTTAAAAAATTATCATATAGAGTTAACTTTCTATTGAACACTATCGGTGTCTTTAGTAACAATATTGCAACAGACTTTAAACTAGATGAATGTGCAACTGCGATCTGAGCGGTAAAAGAAAGATAGTAATTAGTGAAAGTGTGAAAATGCCAAATTGCAATAAAATAAAGAGTCTACCACCCGAAGAAAACTACGAATACTTAGGCAGCTTACAGGCAAAAAACACCAAACACAATGAAGTCAAAAGCAAGATCAGCAAAGTGATAATATAGTAGTACCTCACACTTAAAACACTTCAGAGTTTGATTGCTAAATTTGACAAAAATTTGCTTGAGTTTGAACAATGCTTCAACGTAATTCAACATCTCTTGCTCTCACATTATGCTCCTATATTTTCAGTGTTCATTCTGCTTTATATTTGGTGTGTTTGGTTTTATATATTGTGCGTTATTCATTTATTTTTAAAAATTTCTTTCCGAATATTTCTTCATCAACAGCTTTTGAATGCACCATACATTTTGTATCCTTTAGTTCAAAATTTCATGAACGGAACTTTTTAAACCACAATCAACACGTTTGAAACTTAGGAGCATCTTCCTCGTACATACTACAAAATTTTTTTTAATGCTTGTAAGGTGTTATATCCTTTCGGAAAATCATAAACAACAATATGCCTGATATGCTTTTTATCTGAATTATCGTTCTTGATCTGCTTTTATTGGATTGTATATTAAAATTTAATGTCAAATACAAATTGGAAAATAAGAAAACACTCGAATAATAACCAACCGGGAAAGGGTATAATGGCCCGAATTGTACATATAGGTTTAATTAATAAAAAATCTCAGTGAGCTTTCAAATTGAAAACTGTGGTGTGGTATTTGCTGTCTTAAGTTTATTGAAATGGGTATTGTTTAAGATCTGAGAATGGATTAATTTATTTTACATTATTTCTAATGAGAAAAAGCCGATTTTGACTTCAAATGATACAGAGTTTGAACAGCCTCCTGGAATGAACTAAATTTGAAGTACAAGGTACCACTATATTATGTAAGTATAGGTAAGGAAAGTTTTAAAATCACAGCCGAATTGTGAAAATGTGATGAAAAACAGTAAATATATATAACAGGTAGATAATTGATTGACATTATTTTTCATGTTATTTTATGTCCTACATTCACATCGACTGATTTAACACTTAACACCTCACTATAACTGGATATAGTAATAATAAATTATGTACTGAAACATTTAGCAATTATCTATCAGTTTGTATGAAGAACGAATGTTTAGAGAGTTACTGTGATGCTCTAAAGTGTACCGGAACCACACAAAAAATATAAAAGAAATTTATAAAATAATTATATAAAAATATTGATATTAAGACAGAAATTTCATCACCATAAAAAGACATGTTCAAACTGATGGAAAAAAAAAAAAAAAGAGAGAGAGAGAGAGTAGTTCTCATATTTAAACAATAGAATAATAATGGAAGTCCTAAGATCAACCATCCCCGGTTGAGGTCGAATTGACAGTCAACTGGGGATTTGACTCATCCCACGACCTGGGTTTCAATCTCGTTACATTTAGTAATGAGTGACAACCAGTTAAAAAGCAGGGATGAGGAAAAATAACCAATCGAGGTGGTCGATCTGGGTCCCGAAAAACTTATAAAAATCCATATTCCAAGGATACAGAAAGCTTCTCTACTTGACATTCTATTGTGCGACTTCATCCTCGGTGGAAATATTCTCTGCATTCCCGACTCCTAATCAAACTCATTGTCTCTCTTGCTATTGACTACCACTCAACGATGCCCCGAGGAAGTCAACTTCTGAAAAGAACTCAGGAAATTCGTTCTTGCAGGACCCCCACCCTTCACAGAAAGAAAGGATCCAGAAGCTTTGATTCCGCTCGCCGCTTGTGGACTATTGTAGTTGTCAGCTTATTTTTTAAGTTACGATAAATCGGGACAATTGCTGTGTAATTGTCGGGTTTGTCTCTGTTCCAATCACACCCGCTTACGAAACGGAACTATTCCGTCATTCTGACATTTTTGCGCGAATTAGCGAGCTCACATTACTATCAAAGGATGGCTCCACCATCAACTACAACTAAATCGTACACTGCTATGAGAAAAATGCACAAACCAACTAACTTGAATGACATAACTAGAAAATAGTAATAATGATTTACTGAAATCTTTGCAAAAGGATGACTTCCAGTGCCACAAGACTTGGTATGATAAAATAGAAAAAATTGTTGAAAATGAAGAAAATAATATTTGGAGATTTTCAAATACAGATGGATAAACATTTGCTCATAACATTCCTAGATACTATGCTAACAGGAAAAAAAACAAGATAACAAAGTAAGGATTATAGATGAGATAGTCACAGGTAAGAACAGCATTGAAGAAAAACAATCTTATATTTTGACTGGGAAAAGAAGACAGCCATAGTTCTAACTGTGGTTGAACCTAGGAGACATTCCAAAGGAACTAGAACTACACCTGAAGAACCTATAGCTTCAAGAATCAACATTCATAAGTTATAGAAAGCTGCACTACTTGGAATATCATATATTTTGTATAAATATATGATATAATCTGGCACTCCAGCCTCAACGTTTAGGGACAGAATCCAGCCATTATTGAATGACATATTGTCGATGAAAATACATAAAGGTGTATCTCAAAATTTGGCCAAAATGAGTTAGAAATGCCTTTAAATATAAGCCTGTGTCTTTCGTGTTGTGATGGAGTGGAATATCTCTATGTAACACGGTTTGCATTCTATGGAATGATAAACATTTGGTGTTTCTCAAATATATGATGAAAATATTGACTTATGAATGTTCCTTGAGATATAAACACTATGCAAAAAAGAGGTTTAGTTTGTGTTTTCGGTACTCCAGTCATTTCCAACTTTCCCCTCCTCCTCCTGTTCCAGGTTGTACTAATGAGTGACACCTGGTTTTCATAACATACTATTTGTATAGATCTGCTTGGGATAGAACAAGAAAGTTACAACAATATCCACTTCCTGGATGTACTCTGACTTGGCAAAATGGTCTTATCCATACCAAGGTATTCCATAAACCTATGTACAGTACATGCCCATTTATACTAGCAGAATTAAATGACCCATTCTTCAAAATAGTAGTGTTCTGTGTGCTAGTTAAAAGAGCCTTCACACATTCTTCCAGCATGGAAAACAGGAGGAAGGAACTAAACTATATAAGATAAATCATCCGAGACTTGATCCATTGACATCAATTGCGGACTAAAAGAAGAAACAAAATAAGCCTTTTAAGACAATCAAATATGTCAAACAACTGACCAGCATCCACAACGAAATAATTAAGGCCAATAACTGCAGGACAGTACAAAAAAGAAATCCTTCCATGTACTCTTTACTTAAAAAATGCTAAAGACCCAGAAAACCAAAACAACCAACCAAGAGTCTACTCCATCCCATTAACAGATAATCGAGTGAAAAAAAAAGTTAGAATACATTGAGACCACAACACACTCCTTAAACATGCAATTAAAGAAACTTGAAAAGTCAATCGGGATGGATCTTTCAAACAATGGTGTTGGCAGCGTTTGCAACTGACAATCAGGTGCAAGTCCACATAGATAAAGCACGACTAATACATCAAACCTGACTGAGAAAAAGACCATCTGAAGTACTTGGATTGAATGGAACTATATAAAGTCAGTAAAAACACAGGGCTGTAAATTTTATAGCCAACGTAATATCGGTAGCTTGGAAATCTTTATTTGAAGTAACGTAAGTCATTAATAGATGTAAAACTAAAGATGGTTGTTAAAAACAATTGGAAATCTTTATTTGAAGTAACGTAAGTCATTAATAGATGTAAAACTAAAGATGGTTGTTAGAAACAATTGGAAATATTTATTTGAAGTAACGTAAGTCATTAATAGATGTAAAACTAAAGATGGTTGTTAAAAACAATTGGAAATATTTGTTTTTGACTAAAATATCTATTTCTTCTATTTAGGAATATAATATCTCCCATCCTTTTTACATAAATGATTGTTATCTCTTACTTCAGCTTTGAATTTAGGTGTTATTTTTTATTCCATGCTAACATTCAAAGATCACGTAGCCCTGCAAATAGACATTCTATGGTATTCTATGATGACATGGCAGATCATTTTGTATACTACAGTCTTAAGGACTATATCTTTATGACTTTTCAGTCATTAATTGATTATTATATTGTTTTCTGGTCTGTGACTGCCAACATTCTAATGAATAAAGTTATTAAAACCCTTGATAATGTGTATTTACTATTTAATAAATTAAATAATTTACCTTATACCCATCTGTTGATTGTGTTTTAAATTCCCTTATGTACAGTCGACCCCCCTATAACACTGTTGATTATTCCGTTTTATATGAATTCCATGTTGTACGAGTCACTTAGATTTTACAAATACGTGAGCCTACAGTAAAATATTTTGATTATTTAATGTATTTTAATAGTCTTTTACCACCAGATTTTCTTGCTGTGTATATTTCTACTTGTGTAACTCCTAATTTATCTTGTTTATATCCTCCTAATCTTATATGAAATGTTTCTTGTTACTCTTTCTTTTATCATAGTACAGTGGTACCTCAGGTTACGAACGCCCCAGCATACGAAATTTTCAGGATACGACATGAAATTAGAACATATTTTTGCTCCAAACTAAATCATACACTGCTATGAGAAAAATGCACANCTTACTACAGTTATTTTTTTAAATGTATTACTTGGCTTTAATTTAAGTATGTTTTTCGCGTTGGAACGAATTATTTGGTTTTACATGTAATCGTATGGGAAAAGATGATCCACCTTACGACATTTTCATGATACGATCTCAGTTTCAGTACGGATTAATTTCGTATCCTGAGGTACCACTGTATCATAAGTATGTATAATTTTGAACATTTGTTTCATTTATATTGTAATCATTTTGTAAAAAAGTTATGTATTTGTAACTAATTTTTAAATTGTTTTCCTTATAATTTTTATGGAGTTTGTTACTTGGAGTAGTAATCATATGTACAACTTCACAAAAGTTAGTCATATTGTACACAATGCATGGAAATGCACAGCTCAAGGCCAAGTACAGTCTGTCTACGGAAAGAAACTTCAGAGCAACTCGCGCACGATGTTACTTCAGTTAAACTAATCAGCATATTCTCTAATGATGTCAGCACTTTTTGCTTAATATGTCAGGCAATGCATGAATTTTATTTATTTTCTGTCACTGGTTGGCAGAATGACTTTTCCATTAATTCTGTTAATTTTTTATAGCATTCATTAACTGAAAAGAATCATGCATTTAGCAACTACTAAAGGAAACTTCCTCATATTCCAATACCAAAATGTGAAGCTTCCATAACACTGTTTATAATAGTGGTGACATGTTTAACAGACAAAGAAATCAGAAGTAACTTCCCACTAACTTCCCACAACTAAGTTATCAATGGTAGATTAATACCCAAGTTAATTCTTTCCAATAGACAGACTGTGATTTCAAAATAATAAAATATATTCATACTTATCATTCATTTCTAATTTGGTTTCCAAGGAAGGACGAGGCTGCGGACATCCCATATGATTCTTATTTGCTACATACGAAATCTCCTTGCAATCTCCACCAGCGAAACATTTCTGTTGATTAATTACAAAATCAACCATTTTTTGACACACGAAACATTCAAATCCTTGGAAAACGTCTATTTTATTAATATCGTTAATACCCCATTCACGAGATTCTATTACCCGACGTAACATTTCATTTTTGACCGCTTTGGTCCTTTTGAATTCGAGGAAAGAATTATATTCCTCATCCGACCGATCTAATTTCATCAAATAATTAGCCAGGTCCACCGGAGAATCGAAATCGTCGACGACGACGACAGAGTTTTCGTCCGGCATCCAATCTCTGACGACAGAGGAGCCTTTATATACCGGAACGGAACCTACGTGGAGGGCTCTAAATAACTTTTCCGTCATGTAATCGTCACAGATCGCATTTTCGAATGCTAAGTGAAACTTATACTTGGATATAAACTGCAGAAATTTCTCACTCTCGTATTTATCCGTAGTGGCGAGATCCGAAGGAAGGGTGGCATTATTAAGACAACTTCCGTACGAATCAATGGGAATATAATTGGACAGTTCTTTCACGTATCTGTCCCTGTCGGAGGCAACGGAACAATGGGACTGAACGTAAAGAAGAGGAGAAAGACCCTCTCGCCTTAATCTGTTTTTCTCTTCCAACGGGACGGCCATCCTCTCGGTCAAATACTCCAGAGAAGGAATAAATTGTGTGGTCAGCGGATAGTCGGATTCTCTCCTGAAAGTCGAAGTCAGGTTGAACAGCTTTATACCGGCCGCGTGCGAAAAGAGATAATTGTTCATGGGAGACTCTTCGTGTATCAGAGCCCAGACGTCGTCGTCGGACCTCGGCAAGGGCAGATCTTCCGCTTCGAGATCAGTTCCGTAAAATAAGTAGGCCACGTATTTCCCGTTTCCCGAAATTTCCCTCTTCCTCGTAGAGATGCACGTTACATTTCCACAATGAATATTTTGAGGATCGGTTAAATGAGGATAAAGACGTTTCGTATGCCACACAATCGTCGGTTTTAAACACCACACAGTTTGTAGGAAAAGAAAAACGATACACGCAGATTTCAGTCTCATGTCGTACACGAAACAGTCTTCTTTTTCTTCTCGAAATTAAGAAATGACAAAGCGTAAGAGAGTAAAAGTCATGTTAACTGCAAATCTAAGTGCTGTTTTCTCAATCTCGAACATAGCAGTCGTTCGTTCGATCGGCATTTTACATCAATTCGACGTTACTTCTTTAATCTTAATATTTAAATAAGTACAAACAATATTACAATTTCAGTAAAACGAAGAAATTCAACGTTCTATCATCGTGTAAACATTACAACGTGCTTCGTGACGTACAACGCCACCTGTAGTAATGCATTTATTTTAAATAATATCAAATTAATTATTATTATTATTATTTTAAGTTATAAGTAGAACTGACAAACGATAAAAATTTTCGATGGCGATTAATAAAAAAATAATTCTACTAATCTCGCTTTTAATATTAAATTTCAATTCGTAACCGTAGTTATTAGAGAGAAGGTTATTAGACGAACGTAGGTGTAGTTTTTACAGTGCTCACTAGGGGCACACTCATCGGTTAAGGTAGCAGACGACATATATTAAAAGTAGTGAATTTTAGACTGAAACTAAACAAAAGACGTTCAAAATATCGCAAAATATTATTTAAGTAATAAAGTACGTAAAAGAAAATAAATTAATATATACATAATCACCAGTATACAGGATGAATCAAAAGGTACCACTCGGCCGCTCCATTGTGGCCTGGCAGAACCCGCAATGGACTTGCTGAAAGAGGTCCTCTTAGTGCCACAGGGTAGAAAGAGTTATATATATATAAAGATTTTACATATATATATATATATATGTAAAATCAAGAATCTATTACAGGATCATAAATACGTACTAGGGGTCAGCCTAGATATATCTAAAGCGTTCGATAGCGTTTGGTGGCCCCTAGTAAAATTACAATTACGGAAAATCAATTGTCCTGGCAACATTTATAAGCTACTAAACAACTATTTAAGCGATCGTACTGCAATATTGAAATATGGACAACATGAAGTGAGCAAAAACATAGCCAGAGGATGTCCACAAGGATCCGTATGTGGTCCTATCCTATGGAACATAACATTTGATGTTTTCTTGAAAGAGGACTTGGGCCATATGGGATGTGTAGCTTATGCAGATGATGTTATAATGCTCATCGGTGGACGCTCAAGAGCAGAGTTGGAACATAAAGGCAATGAACTCCTTCAAAAAATCTACAAATGGGGTAATGATTATAAATTGGTATTTAATCCATTAAAAACAAATGCAATTGTATTCAATACGCCAGGGCACAAAAATTTATATCTTAGACCGCCCCACATAAAAATGAATGATAAAACCATCAAAGTCAACAGGACCATCAAGTATCTTGGAGTTATATTAGATCACAGACTATGTTGGCAACAACATATTGAGTATATGGTCAAGCGTACAGGACTAATACTACAGTCTTTTGCCCAGGTTGCGAAAAAAGAATGGGGCCTGTCCTCGGGGGCGATGTCAATTATATATGATTGCATATATTTCCCAATCATTACCTATGCCTGTGGCACCTGGGGCTGGGTGACAAACAAAGTTCATATCAAACGAAAACTAATATCATCACAAAGAACTGCCTTACTTTTAATAACCAAGGCGTACTGTACTACCAGTAACACCAGCCTTCAAGCCATTGCCAGGAAACCTCCGCTGGACTTATCGATTAAACAAAAAATGAATCTACAAAGAGCTAAATGGGGAGAGGCGATCGAACTCAATCATCAAAGAATTACACATAATGAAATTGAATGGCGTTTCCCATACTGTAATACTCACCATTATAATACAGCTGTGCATTATAAAGATAATGAAAATGGGATTGAAAATATCAAAGTGTTTACGGATGGATCAAAACACGATAACATGGTTGGATGCTCCTTTGTAGTTTACAAAAATGAAGAAGAAATATACCATAGAACCATCCGCTTAGATAACAACTGCACAGTTTTTCAAGCTGAACTGTGTGCAATTAAAATGGCCATTATTTGGATATGTAATTTACAGGATAAAGTTAATGCTAACATATGTACAGATTCTTTATCTGCTTTTAATATGATTAATAACACCAATTTACACCCCATTGCGGAAGAGATTCGTAGATTAATAAATCACTCAAATTCTAATATCACCATATCTTGGACACGAGCCCATCAAGGCACAATGGGAAATGAGAGGGCGGATACCTTGGCAAAGCAGGCAGCTGGGGATGTCTCATTACCAATAGAATATGATAAATACAGTATCGGCTCAATTAAAAGATTATTATGGGAAAACACCATCCAAATTTGGCAAAATGAGTGGAACCAAAAAAATACGCATATTACTTATGAATTTATACCAGATCTAAAAAAATTTTACTCTTTGGAATGGTTTTACCCGGACCATACTACAACCCAACTTATGACAAATCATGGCAAATTTGCTAGCTATCTAGCAAGATTTACAAACCGAAATGACAATCAATGCTCTACATGTCTTGCAATTGATGGTTCAAAGCATTATATCTATGATTGTATAAGATTTGAAAGGGAAAGGATAGAACTAATAAGTATACTAGAGAATAATGGAATCAAATGGCCGTGTAAACTATCTGATATCTTGACTAATGGGAGCACTTATAATGCTTTTGTCAGTCTTGCCAAACAAATTTATAAGATCAATAACCAAATTATCTATAACTGAGATGTACCCTATTGTAATAAATCACATTATTGATAAATCAAATATTGAAATTAATATTCACATAAATTGAACAATAAAATTGTTGTATTGGATGGCATTTATACTTATTTTCATGAATATCACCTGATTATAAGCATTGTTATAACATTGTTTATTGAATACGCGGTATGACAGAATTGGTCAATAGTGTGGAGCTAATCACATATTATTTAAAGAAATTTACCTGATTTTAACTGGGTAATTTGAATTGGTGGATGTATATCTAGTTATGTGCAGTATATGAATTGATATATACATGTAATGTATATGTATATATTGATAATATATTTGATACTTGCCGTATTACATGTTACAATTGATATGTAATTATAATAAATAATGATAAAGTGCTGTTAGAGCTGATATTGCAATATTCTATCTTTATACACCGTGAATGTATTTAATGCATTGTATATTGTAATATTGTTAAGCATTAATGAAACCTATTATGTATACAATATTCTGTAATATGAAATAGCAAAATATAAGGTGGTAATTGGTTATTACAGATATTGTAACTAGTGCAACTTTAGATAGTATTTATTATTTGAATGTTAGATAATATATAAGATATAAATGATGAATAAATATTGAACTACAGACATCATAATAAAATATTATTAGAATATTGCTGTTACAATAATGCTATAATATTGTTTGATAAATATAATAAATTACTGTTATAATAAATATAATGCAACATTGCTGCATAATAACATATTGATATAAATACTGTTAATTGAATGTATTATAAACTATTGTTAATTGAAATAGTGTCGGCTATAGTATGCGGGATGTATATAATTGCATTATAATATATGTGATGATGTCGGCTATAATATATGTATTGTGTAAAATATAGTATAATTGTACTATTAACAATGTTATTATATGGTGTTAAAGAATGACTATAATGATTATATAAATCAAATTAAGACAATATAATATAATCCTTAGATAAATAGTAATGTTATACGGAAATAATAACAAACTACTGTTTATACAATAAATTATTTAATGTTAATAGTGTTATAATATATATATAATTGTATATAATCATATAAAATGTTCTATTATTTGCCTGGTAGTGCCTAGCGGGACCAGGCCATATGTAATATACATGTAAATAAATAAAAAAATATGGAATATGGAAAAATATATAAAGACCAGGAGAAGAGGGAAATATCTTGCGAAACGATAGTATAGGTTATTGTTGTATAGATAGGGATATTATTCTCAGATACTGTACGAAAGTTGCTCACATACAAGAACAATAACGAATGGAACGTATGTTGCATTCAAAGCAAAAGCTCGAAAATCGAACCCTGAAGCTTCAGTACATTTTACAATGGAAGCAATCGAATTTTACATGGCTTTGACTTATAACCTTATCATTATCGGCATGTCTAATAGCGGCGCCTGCAAACTGCAAACTATAAAAGGGACAGCATATATTATGCGAGAAGCTTCAAACCACAAACTTCAAACTATAATTCAACATCGGATCATAAAGTGGCATTGGTTGCAATCGTGGTTAACTTTGACCAGAATATTTTTATATAATTTCGGGCCTGATACTAGTATCCAAGATGGCTGCCGTTTGTGATGAATTTGATTAACAATTGAAAGCAGACTAAATTATGTCAAATAATCATTTTACATTCAAAGTAGATGTAACCCAAGTAATTGTATAATGAATAGTCAGACCGCTATGAATTGATGCAACAGGGTTTCTCTTAGTACTTCACACTTGCTGGAACTTGTTTTTCGGAAAATACAGCCTGTTCTGTGGGCGAAGAGAATCTATTTTATGGGCGACAATGATTTGGGTTTAACTGCTACACGATTTTTGCTACGTGGCCCCGTCCCTCACCACCCGGTAGCCCTATTGTGGGCCAGGCCGAACCCATAATGGGCTTGCTAAAAATAGCCCTCTTAGTGCTTTGATTGCCTTTAATTATAAACATTGTGTGCAACACATCTACCAATGCAGGCCATTACTTTTTGACTAGTTTCTTCAACTAGTTTTTAGCAAGCCCGTTATGGATTCGGCAAGGACCACCATGGGGCGGCGGGGGGTTTTTTCCTTAACTCTTTCCACCCTGTGGGGCCTCTTTTTGCAAGCCCATTATGGGTTCGGCCAGGCCCACAATAGGGCGGCGGGGTGGTGAGGCACGGACCGACACATCTGGACAGACCATCTCACGGAAAATTCCTGGATTTTTTTACCCATCCGGATCGATTCCGGATCCCACAGGCTGCCATCTTATTAATCGTCGACCGTTCGAGCTTTACGTTGTAACACTTCTCTTACCCGATTTACAAAGCTTTTAAACTTTCAATATTGTCAGGAAATAGATCGTCCACTAAAAAGCCCCATATATACACTCATTGCCATAAAATTTAGAAGATTAATTACCAAGGAGGAGTAGTCGGAATCGAACGAAATTGTGTGTGTGATTGTAACGGTGATATAAGTAAGTGATTACAAAATGAAAGCAAAAAACTCATTTATTGCAGGAAAAACTACAAACGAAAGAAGATTCTAGTAGCCTGTTGGGCCACCTCTAACGTACATGTATGGAGACATACGGGTGCCGAATAGTGTCCTGCAGAATCTCGGCCCATAGTGTTTATAAGCGGTCCTCTAGTTCGGCCAAATGACTGTCCAAGTTGCCGTTCCGGATAATCCCAGACATGTTTAATCGATGACAAATCGGGGACCGGACGGACCAGGAAAATGTGGTATTACGGCACAGGTAGTTCCGTGACACCCTTGCTGCGTGTGGTCGAGCAGAAAATGGCTTTTGTGAGCGCTGCCACGAAAGGCAACACGTATAACTGAAGGATGTCACTAACACACGCTAGAGTTAGCGATGCAATGGAACCTTTACCCCAATGCTTCATTCAAAAATCCATCGCTAAATTTGTAGCGTAAGGTATCATCCATCTTTCACGAACTGCTCTTCTGTCATAGCGTATAATACCAATAAGAATTAGTCCTAAAAGTCTCGGGGTAACTGTATTGATTCGTTATAAAAAATCGCAGGCTGATAAGACCCAGACATTGAACACCATATTGTTAATTAAACGCCGATGATATAACGACGCTACTACAAACTGATTGGGGGGGTGTTTTCAGAGCCCCAAAATCCGTAATTTTGTTAAGTTAATTCTCCACTTAAAGGTCACGTAACTTTCTAATTTAGTTATTCAGTAGAAGAAATAAATTTTTGAGACGTCTCCAAATCGATGTAATGTGTTTAAATATTTTTAAAGTTTGCGAAATTCTCCAACTTCTTTTCTTTCGTCTAATCGCGAATTGCCAAATAATTTATTTAGAAAACCCGATTTCGCTTTGCCAATTGGATAGAGTCGAGCACTTCGGAGCGAGGGAACCAAAACTTCTTATGGTACACGTACCACAGGTGGTATTCAAAAAGGATCCGTTAGTGCTACGAGTGGCTTAAAAGTTTTTGGCTTCTCCTCTCCACTAATTGTTTTTTCACTCGCACGGTGGGTAATTTCAGATTGTTTGGTTTTATTTGTATATGGCAAGGCGACACGTGGACGATACCTTCCGTGAGGTCTTTCTACGGGAAACAGAACCCCATTTAAGTGTTAGACACGTCAAGAAAACACTGTAAACTCCACGCAACCGGGAGCGAACTTTCGACTAAACTACCAGTGTTTGGCGGTTTTATCCACTCGGGTACTTTGCAGTTTGATTTTCGACTACGATGCTGGTCCTCACGGGTTCCACCCTATAATTCTTTCTACTTCTATTTCTTCCGTAATTCGAAAATCTCGAGACTTTAGAAACCACGACAGAGTCCCTTATGGGTCAAAATTTACGAATAAAAGGCGAAATAAACCGACAATTTCTATGCAAGAGGATCCAATGTCGACCTGCATAAAGCCACGATGCCATCGAGCACTTTGCAGTGTTTTATAAGATCGCTGCCTCCGGAAACGGTTCGAGATCAGACTTCCGGACTTCTAACGAGCAGCGAACGTAGTAATTTCTCTTATTTGGAATAAAGACGGAGCCGGTGCCTTAAGAGAATCTAAAAATTTCATTTCTTTCTTGTGTTGCGTTGTGGAGTGTTTTCTTAAATTCCTCAAATTATTTTCTAAGCTCCAGGTAGAGATTCCGCTTAGGATCGGTCCTGTTAATGCTGCCAATTTGGGAGTAGAGAAAGGAGGAAGCAAACAGCGGAACGAATTCTATAGTACGAGAATAACACTCCTAATATTCTCTCGATCGAATGCTCCCTCTCGGTGAAACGTCCCCTTAAATTCCTGGGCGGTTTCTTTCTACGAAGGAAGAGGACCCTTCGGAAGACGAGAAACACTTTGGCCATATTTTTTATGGGTCATTTACGAATTAATTACCCGCTAGTTAAATTGGTAATCGGTTCCCGCCCGTGTTCGGATCGTCCTGGCATGCAAACCTTGTAGTGTTTTCTCACAAAGGTCTTACTTTGGCATAATTCCGAACGCGTAGAACCCCGAAAGAACGAATTACCGCGGAATCCCTAACTAAAGAGGATGCGCAGCGTTATCTTTCCCCCATCCTGGATTGCCAGCATGTTAGCCTGATTCTTCCTACGCATAGCAGAAGGTCGGGGTCCTCTACACGCCCGTACTTCCGGTTAATACTCTAAAAATACTTCTAAGATGAGCAAAGGGTTATTGCGTAACCAAGGCCGTAACACTCGAATCTCCAACCTGGTATCTTACCAAATCGTCATTACTCGCCCGAGTGTAATACTGATGATTCGTAACTTGAGTCATCACTCTCGCGCCAGTGAAGAAAGACAAAGACAGACAGACAGACAGACACGAGTCATATCTTTTATTAATTAATTCTTCTCAATCTCGTTAATACAAAAAACATTTATATCGAAAACAAAGTGAACGCGCGAAGCAACCCCAACAGTTCTAACGGGCGCTCGACCTCCGATCTTCTCTTCTTTCGCTACGAACCAGTCGTGGTGTGGCGCCACAAGCTACACTATATCCAACGAAAGATGGCGCTCCGATAGGACGAGCGCCCCCTTTTATATAAAATCCAAAATTTATCAAAACTAACGGCACGCCAACTGCCGAGACGGCCGAAAGACTAAGGCACGTTCGGTATACATATATATAAAAAAACTTATGTACATGGATCGTCGGGTCCGAACCCGCGCTTTTCTTCCCAATCTCCGACTTCCTTCCTTCCTTTCTTATTTTATTTATTTTTCGGGTGGGAACGGAATGCTTTACTTTAGTCGCTAGTTTAAAAATTTAAAAGGGGAGAGAGAGGGTTCGTGCCTAGGGGGGGTTATTCGAAAATCGCTGCGTACTTTCCTGGAGTCACGCTCACGCGCGGCTGAATATTCGATATAACGGCGAAGAAAGCGGGGAATACGGGCGACGATCCGAATGCTCGATAGGGCGTGAAGACGCGCGAGGCATATATATACAGAATGGTACGTAACCGGTAAAAAAAAAAAAGAAAATTTAAATAAATAGGACCGGAAGAATACTCGGACAATCGAGCATCCGGTCCGACGTGTAGCTCGGGGCGAGCTCCAATAAAATATAAAAGTCGGAACTTTTTAGTCGCGGTTCCGATCCGAAGGTAGAGGATCGTCCTCGAACTCCAAGAGATCCTTCAAGTCCTCGTCCTCCTCCGCTAGAGGACTAACCTGAACGGTCAACCGGGGCGACTTGAATTCCATTAACTGTCCCAAGTTGGATCTGTCCAAGGGATTGTTTCTCAGATCCACCTCTTGAAGCGCAGGAGCGCTCTTGAGTCTGTTCACGTCCACCTCTAGAAAGAAAATAAAGACAAAGCAACGTCATCGACCCGCCATTTTTTTTATATACGCCATTCGAAAGACAAAGGGTGGTGTGCCTTACCGGAGATGTAGTTCTTCTGGGCATTCAGGTGGGTGAGTCTGGGAAGTTTGAAGACCACTTTGGGCAACGACAGGAAGTCGTTTCTGGAGATGTCCAGTCTCTGAAGCTCCGTCACGTCCAGGAGTTCGTCGGGAAGTGTGCTGAGTCGGTTGTTGGCCAGGTTCAACTCTACATATTAATTCGTTCGATTAATCGGGAAAGAATGCCAGATAATAGAGAGACAGAGAGGTAAACAAAAACAAACCTGTTATGTAAACGAACTTAATGGCGAACTTGGAAGGCAGCTTGCGGAGGACGTTGGAGGAGAGATCGCATCCCAGCAGCACCGTGTTCCTCATCAGGTGATAAATGGCGTCCGGAAAGGACATCAGCTGGCATTCCGACAGATCTGTAAATTTCCCAACTCGATAAAACACGGGATTCAGGCCGACGGAACAAAGGAAAAAGAAACAAACATACAAAAAAAAAAACAACCCAAACTGCGCCACAATTCCCCAGATGCGACGCAAAAGTTTTTGGCACGCGATTAATGACGTCGTAGATTTCCGCTAGGCAACAAAGAACCGCGCAGACGAAACCTCCAAAAAAGAGCGATTTACACCCCGAATCACCCGCGGATATTACCTTAATTCGGGGGATGAGGAAAATCGTTTAAATACGTAATAAATTTCACGAGGAGTAGAGGGAATCTTCAAGAGACCACAGCTCGAGCTTCCGGTACAATAAGAGGAATTAACAACGCAATGCTTTTTTTTTTCTTCTTTTGCTTATTGTTAATTGCCCGGTGTGACGTAAAAGAAGGGATCGAACACGAGAGAGAGAGAGAGAGAGAGAGAGAAAGGAGACTTACCTAGGTTCTGGTTAACGGTGGCATCGGTGCAACGATGTACCACTTTAATGACGGCCTTACCCGCCATTGCAACTACCACGTTGTACGTCTTGACTGTATAAATAGGGTCCTACGAAAGAGAATAACGATTTGCCCCGGTTTGTTTGCCGTTCGCAGCAGCGCCGCTTATTTTATTCCCAGATAGATGCGCGCGCATTTAGCATCCCTTCTAAAAATAACCCGGATCAGCTGGAAGGAAGGGAGGAAAGAACGCACCCAGCTGTCTCGTGATCCGAAGGGGGAAGGAAAAACAAAAACAAACACGGGGCCAAAACAACTACGTAGTCCTTTCGCACAATATTTAACGAATAGTTTCGGTGGCACACGTTCGGGTCGTCTACCTCCCCCCCAAGCTATTTTTTATTATTAAAACGTGGTCCGAACCGCATCCCCGGTAAGTCACCGAGGGGTCGAAGACGTCGGGGAAAGAGGGAGGAGGAATTTTTTCCAGGATCAAACAGCGTAACGTTCCTAGTGTCGGTAGCATTTTCCCCAATGAAAGTCGTTACTCTCTCCAGAATTACGTCCAGGGCACCATTCCAACAGTCTGATTCTACCTGTACGTTCATTGTTACCTGTTCGATGCTAATTCTAATAATAGTCGAGTTCGTTGTTTGACGTGTCGTTGCCAGTCCTGACTTTTTTTTCTTTTTCTTTTTCTTTCTTTCCCATCCTCGGAGGAAAATGTCCCATTGGGAAATTTCGACTAAGTAACTAAAAAAATATATCCAAATTTAGTGCTGTGACGAACTTGAGCCGAGACCAAATTTTATTTTACATATTCCGCATCACACGCGAGAAAAAAAGGGACCAATTCGTCACCCGATACTACGCATCGAGTTTTGTTTTTACGCCGCCGAAGACGGATAAACAAACAAACACGAACCACGCGATAAATCGTTAAATAGCGATTACGATAGCGATTTCTCGCCACGTACGGAAGCGATTCAATTTTTTCTATATTTAACGCGTACTAACATCGATGTGGGGTAGTTCCGGAAACGTTACTGACCTTCGTGAGCATTATATATATATATACACATATACACATAAACAGTTTTTTTTATTATTATTTGTTTTTTTAGAAGCATCGAAGCGTGCCAGAGAAAATCGCTTTCTCTTTAGCCGTTCCGAAAATAGAAATGGCGAAACTAGTTTATCGAAAAATTGTTTTTATTTACCGAACACCTTATTGGTCACCTCAACCGACCTTTACGCAACGTGACGTTAGAATATATATATATAAAAAAAACAAGCCTTTTAGTATTTACGCGAGAGAGAAACTGGACGTTAGCCAGAGCGACTTATTTTCGTCGCGTTGCTTCTTTTCGTAGAGGAGGGAGGGAATAAATTCGACTTCCAAGAGTTTGGCCCACCCCATTTCGCGGTACTGCGTTACGTTGATGCAGGTAAAGCCAGAGATCGGAGTGTCATCTTCTGTTTAACGACGTAGAGTCGTAGAATCCACTAAAACCTCCGCGAGGAGAGAGAAAGAGAGAGAGAGAGAGCGAGGGGAGGGAAGTAGAGAGTGCAAATCCCTTTCGTCCCGGTGATAAACACGACCGAGGAAAGTGACTTGTTAAGTGAAGAATGTAGCACAATCGGAGACCGTTAAGCTCTCATCGCGTCTTACGTCACTCTAAATGGGACAACGATCTTTCGCCGGTGACGTAAAAATCGCGATCACCTGTATTAAATCGGCATCTAGTTTTCCACCGGAAGCGACGTTACAACGAGGGTTTTCGTTCCGTTCGATCGGTGGGACGACGGCCCCGTTTATAACGCGGTTAAGGTGACATCATCACCCGATAAGCGAGTAGTTATTGCGGTCGATAAAACACGTAAATACATACATATATATCTTCAGTGGACAGAGTTTTTTAGTATCGATCAAAAGTTTAATATTATCAAATAGCATTATATTTTCTACATATGATAATATATTTTGAATATTCTATTTGACAAAACTCTTCGATTTATAAACAGATTTTTTTTTTTTGTGGGGGGGGATCTTTTTTTCTTTTGTATTTACAAACAGGAATTTTCGACGAGAGACTTATAAGAGAAACCGCCTCCGTTTTTTTTTTTTTTGCTGGAAAGCGAAAGTTGGCCAAAAAATCCAAATTTTACACGTTCAGACGAGCAGACAAACGAAAAACAAATATCTCTAAGACCGTTCTGTAGTGTTAAAGCGGTGTAAACTTTGAATACAGAAATGTTACAAGGCACGATCTCATCTCGAACAAAATGTAGCTGCATCGACGTACCGTTGGAAAGTAAGAAGGGAAAAAAGAAGGGAAAAAAAAAAAAAAAAATCCCTATCAGATTCTAAACACTAAAGAAAGAAAGGGTGGAGAGGGGGGAGGGGCAAAGATTGCTGTTGGATCGTCGCCCTGCAGAGAATAAAAAGGCGAATACGAAAAGCGTACGGCCGAACGGAAAGCCTTCGAGTCGTTTATTATTATTTTTTTATTTCGTTTTTGGCTAGGAAAGCCCCTTAAATGGCAGTGATGGGACTGTGGTTCGACCCTCGACCAACGTCATCACGTCAGAAAACGTGCTGTCGTCTCCAAAAAAATCCGTAAAACGGTTACGTCATTTAAAGGGTTATTCCGTAATGAATGCCTTTCCTTTATAAGGGCGAACTGTATATATATATATATATATATGTATTAAAAAAAGGATACATCGAATGACTCCACCAGTCGACGAAATGGCGCAATACGTAAAAGAAAGAAAGAAAGAAAAAAAAAAAACTATTGTTTTTAGGCAGTTGCTGGTTTGTGCTCTGTACTAAGCTCTAGTTTGAGCGTAAACGACGTGGTATTATTTCATTTCTTGTTGAGAGCGAGCGCGGCTCGAAGGCTTCCGAATTACAAGTATATTTATATATATATAATCTATTGTAAAATCCTTGTATCTCTACGCATAGATTAATTGACCACGTTACCTGAGTGACGCTCGCTTCGGTCGGATTGTCCGTTTAACCTATATATATATATATATTTATATATATATTTTTGGGGTGGTTCTACAGCGAAATCACAGATCGATCGATGTACAATTTCTGTTGGGCTTAATCGTGACAATAATAATAATAACAACAACAACAACAACAATCCTAAGATCGAAATTTAAGCTCTTTCTGTTGTTATTTATGTGTTGTTCGTCGTGTATCGGGTATTAAATTTTCTATCCGTAACAAAATCTACCTCCTTTTATTATTATTATTATTTTAATCGACCGTAGCTTTAATATAGCTAAACGTAAATAGCTAACACTTACGAGATAGATAGATAGAGTATAGAAATGTATGGATAGAGAAAGATAAGAGAGAGATAGATAGAGAGAGAGAGAGAGATAGAAAAAAAAAACCGAGCAGCATCGATCCTCTCGAATCAGAGAAACACCTGCAGTAAAGACACCCTTACTGCTAGATATAATGCATTTGTTTATTTATGTATAAATGCTGTGTATTCGTGTTCGGTGAGGCTGTTTTCTTTTGTGTGTCGAGTGTCTGTATAATTTACTCTACTCACAGTCAGATATGATTCAACGTAGAAGATATGACGAGTGTTGTTAAGGTAAGTCAATAGGGAAAAGTGTAGACGAATTTCCGTGCATTAGGTTTACATACATTCCACCTTTTACAGTTAAGGAATATTTGGAGAGGGGGAGGGAGAATATTTAACGAAAATACAGTAGAATTCAACTCAACGAATCTCTTAGAATTAGTACCATAGTATCCCTGAGATAATTCTACGTTAAAACGGAATACTAATATATAAACTAAACCCAAATTTCTACTTTAAAAACACCAATAAATAATCATAATAAATGATTAAGTAACGAAGTGTTCGATTAACCAATCAGAGACGGCACGTGAAACTTTCAAAAACCCCTAAACCGCACCCGTACCGATAACATAAATAAAAAGAAAACATCCGTTCTGTATTGTACATTTTTAACCGTCCTACAATCGAATATTTTAAGGCAAAAATGTATTACTTTATCACATTTTAAACGTGCCTACTTCTAAAAATGTCCGATTTAAACTAAAGTAATGCATTTCTTAAAGAAAAACATTAAAAAAAAAAAAAAAATGAAAGCAATAACTATAGCATCTCGAGTAGGCATTAAATTATAATGGTATAAGTACAGTAACACGTAAGCGTGCGTACATTTAACTCACGTGACAGTATACACACGCACGCGAGTACGAAATAAACAAAGGGATGTACAACGAAATGCATTACAAAATAAGAAGAGTAAATTTTTCTTTTTAATTTGCTATCTATGATCATTTAATTACGTTCGACGGTACTAATTATTATTATTATTATTATTTTTTTTTTTAACAATCTGTACAAACTCAACAATAGAAAATATAAGTATCAACAAGTCAATTTGTAATAATTTTTCAATGATATATTATTACAAGAGAGATTTTATATATATATATATATATTAATATATATATATATATATATTAATTACGGGATTTCAGAGATGCAGAAGGAAATTTCGTTTGTGTATTTTTTTTTTTTTTCGTTGTAAAATTCTCTCTTTTGAACACATCTAACTTTCTACATGAAAAATAATTTCAATCGTTCGAATACTACTATAAAATAAACTACTTTTTCACTATCGACTTCGATTCATTTTGAGATTCATGCACGATGTTCGATTTCCGAGTCCGTGTTCGATTACCGAATACGAAATAAATAAATAAATAAATAATAATAATTCGCTTGGATATCGATGGAACCAACGTTTACGGAAAGTTCGTAGATAAAAAGACGAATTCTGAAAGTTTATTTGGCAATTTGCACGTAATTTTTCGGTTGTTTTGTTTCCTTTTTTTTTTTTTTTTTCAATTCCCTCTCCTATTCTTTGGTGTTTTTGAATTAGCGATTTTTAGAAGAAGAAAAATTTTCCATGTAGTAAGTGAAAATGTGTTAAGAAATATTTACAACCACTAGTAAAACTGCATCCGTATTTTAACCTTATTTAAGAAAGTTATTATTAATTAATTTTCTTTTCTTGATACCCTAAATTTTCGATAGAAGTTTTTTCTAAAGGGATGGGATTGCTTCCGAAAGAGCGTAAATTGAGAAATGTAGCTAAACAAACTAATTTTTTTGGGTTTTTTTTTTTAGCTTCTGGAAGTAGTGTTTGATTCTCCCGTCATCTTTGTATCAATATATAATGCATAATTATTGTAGAATGAGCAAGCGTAAAGATGTTACTATAGAAATTCTCAATATAGAAAGATATCTTAAAGTTGTTATTAAACATTTGATGTTTAAGAGGCTATATACAAATTTTTGTCATCTACTGGTTGAAGGTATATATCTGTCTCGTATCTCTTTTACTTACTGTACATAATAGGATGTTTTGACATCTTTTCGTGTTATATACTGTATTCGTGGTATCCGATGGAAGAGAACTTTTGCACTGCGTGCCGCTGTCCTATTCAGCATAAGGTATTATTAACTAGAATTTTCGTTATCTTTGAATTTGAACTTTGTAGGCTCTTTGATTGGAAGATGAAGATGCATTGGATCTCTCAACCTCTTCAGATCGTCTTCTATTAGTGCTATTTCGTTCTTCAATTCGTTATATTTCTGAACGTTTAATTTTGTTTTGCCCGCTGTTTTGTGGAAAAGTTTCAATGACTGGCGATCACAGACGTCAGGCAAATAGTACTCCTATACAACAAAAAAAATTATTGTTTTTACTCTAAGTCCTTTATTAAAAACAATAGATAATATGATAATTACATAGAGAATTTCATAACAACAGTGGATGCGAATCCACTACCAAAAACAAGTGTTTGTGGTGATTTTATTCACTCGGCCATTGGTGAGAACATCTCTGAATAGAATGGAGCCAAAAATACCAGGCTTTCTTTTTAATATACTACTCCATTAGAAATTACACAGATCCTTAAAATTTCTATTGACTTACAGATAAAATATTTCCTACTAAAAAATAATATATAATCTATCGAGGAGGACAATAGAAAAACTCCGACTTTGTTCGCGCCTGAGCCACGTGAAATTTTCCGGGATTACTTCACGTGTTTAACAATCTAAATAGGGGCCAATTTCCCATAGAAAATCCTCCTCGGTAGATCGCCCACGTGTTGCATTGCCGCAAACAAATAAAACAAAGCAACACGAACGTGTCGAGAACATCACGTGGTATCAATTCAGTCAGACCATTCACCGAACGAGTTGCTACCACGTGATATTCTCAACACCTTCGTAGAGACTACGCACTCAGGAGTTAAAACAGTCGAAGATCAAGCCTGTTATTTGTTTAAAGTTACGTACAGTATTGTTATTAATGCAACCATAGCCAAAAGATCCATTAGCGATTCTCGAAGCCCATGGATTATCATCGTAATAAAGAAAGAACTTGAACAATAAAATGAACGATTTATACAATAAATTACATTACAATTAAATTAATTTTAATAAATTAAAATGGAAGAAACTAAATTCGTCCTGACATCTCCATCATGTCCAATCTTCCTTTATAGAAACGATTTCGGGATTTTCGGTTAAAAATATTCAGTTTAAACAATATAACAATGAGTCGATTTCCTTAAGGTACGGAGTTCAACTTTATTTTCATTCTTGGAATAGAAATATTCAAATGATAAAAGAGATTCTATAAATAAATCAATGGCGTAAAGCCAACAATGATTTTTCCATAAAGTAAAAAGTTTCTTCGTTAACGAATTAAATATTCGTATACGAGTTATTTGACAATATAATTAACAAAAACAACGACCTAATATACATCTAGAATCTATAATTAATAATATAAACTTTCGATATTGTCGGTGGCCATTTCTAAAGTGCGAAGATTCTTTGACTTATATACAATGCAAAATCCATATCCCACCATACTCACACTTTACAGATCTAGTATCCTGGCAGTAAATGGATTTTAGGGAAAGGCCCCACGCAAGTTTGCTTGGGGCTTTCCTCTAAAATCTCCACTAAAAGACAGAAGAACAAATTTCTAAAAACTATTCTAAAAATATCTGAATTTCGAATGGAAGCAAGAGCATTGGAAAGGGGTCCGCGTAAAGTATGATGATTTCACACCAAACTAGTCCATTCCAGTCACGTCAAGTCGCGCTACTTTGCTGTTTGTTACCTTATCTGTCCCTTTGATTTTTCCCTTCTTCCTATAAAACCACATTCCCACAACATCCGTGCGCTGCCGTGAATGCAAAGCAAGGGCTTTCACACTGGATCAGTCAAGTCAGCAAGTCAGTCAGTGAATTTCTCGAAAAACACAATTACAGATAAGTTACTTAGATAAATCTATTATAAGTAAACAGTCTTTAGTTATAAATGACTTAATTTGTAGCCGGCGTTAGTATTTTTTGTTTTAAAGAGTTTTAAGATTAATGGCATAAATAATACAATGTTACAATAATATTATGTCATATAAACATTATAATAATCGATTATTATTTTTAAAATTATGTCCAGCAACTGGCAAAAGACTAGTTTAAACTGATAAACATGTTGTTGAGTCCATTCTATTCTCCACGCCACTGTACTCACTATGAAATGCATGGAACGTCCTCCATTACTTTTAAATGGAGCACCTGCTTGGCGAATCCACATGCATTCGTCTTAAATGGTTTAGTGTGAAATCAACCCGAGTTCTTCATTGTGAAAATCTTATTTTAAAGGTAAAGATGAGTTTTATATATATATATAAACTGTAAATGCTAATAACGATTAAATCTTCATTAAGTCCAACACCACACATGACCCTATCTATCTCCCCATCCCCTCGGCCTTTAATCACCAAAATTTAATAGCATCAATCCCCCTAATATACAAACCCCCCTTGAGAATTTCAGAAATTTTCGACAAAAGACACGGGAGTTATTAAGTTTTAAAGTGGGCGAACAAAATGGTGTCACCACACGATTTACTTCAATAAAACAATTGTTTTGTTTCTTAGCTTACTTTTACTCTAATATGGCTTTTAAATATAGAAAACGAAATCTTTTCAACCGATCATTGGACCGATAAACTAGAAATTTCCCCACCGAGCATGAATATTACTTTCTATGATAAAGCAGATTATTAAAGAATTGAGGATAGTAGAGATTTCAAGAAATTCAAGTAAGATTTACTGATGTTTCTACAAATTAATTAATCTATACTGCCCATTAAAGCATGATTAATGCGCGATAATACATTTTAAATAACAGGCACGTTAGATCGTTACTTCCAATTGGATAATAGAACATCACATGGTCACTATTTATCAAAATATTTAAAAAATGCACAACTTAAGGGAAATTCTCATGAACTAAATGAGGTCACTGTAACGTAGGTGCCATCACTGATGCGAAATCGATATAACANTGAAGAATATGAATGACCGAGTAGTCAAGGTAGCAGCTTACCGCTCTGGGGGACCCGGGATCGAAAAATCCCCAGGAATTTTTCGGGGGTGGTCCGTCCGGATATGTCGGGCCCCGTTCCTCACCACCCGACTGCTCCATTGTGAGCCTGGCCGAACCCATAATGGGCTTGCTAAAAGAGGTCCTCTTAGTGCCACAGGGTAGAAAGAGTTATATATATATTTTTAATATATAAATAAAATTATTTTTGTAGAATAATGTTATACTTATGTATATTCATTTTATTCAAGATTCTATTAGATATAGAAGTAAAATTCAATATAAAGTAATCAATATGATAATGCTGACAGTCATTTTTGATTTTGAGTTGATGCAACTTATATAAATTCGTTTAACTTCAATGTTTATGCACTGTTTAAATTATTTCAATGTCATTATCATATGATCTAACATTAAGAATAAATATCAATATTCTTATTGAAATGTTTATGTATTGGATATTCTCATAATTCAGAAATTATATTTTATTTATTATGTAGATTCTATGCAAGTAATATAATACAAGGCGAAAATGTCGACCAACTGATTGCCAGAACTAAGCCTTCAAATTTTTCAGGACCATTGCAGTTTAAATCATTAGTTGGGCAGTGTTTCAATTTGACTAATGATCAGTAAGTTTATTGATATCTAAATATTTACTTATTAAAATTTATTGGAAAATGTCCATAGAGATTAAAAAGAAAAATCTTAAGATTTGTATGAATGTAATTCTTATNAATAAAATGTAATTTAAATTGCCAAAGTATTGTAAATTATAAAATGCAGAAGTTAAATCATTAATTTTTTTTAGCATTGGCTGTAATCTTATGGCTTATGTAATATTAAAATTTACCAATAAAATTTTTATGGCAGTTTTATTTGATATTAGAAATTCAATATTAAATAAATTTAAGATGCAAAATTTGTCTGCACATTTAACATTGATTAGGTGTTATGATTAATTTTTAAAAATTAAATCTGTTTAAGAATCAGTTAAACATATTTAAACTGAGAATAAACATTCAATTTGAGCACTAGAGTAAACAACAAAGATTTTTAAAATGAGAGTAATCATAAAACAAAGATACTTCTATTTGTGTGACAGAACCCAGCTGTAAAAAAAAAATCTTTTAGAAATAGCTAGAAAAAACTTAAAAAGAAAAATTTAGAAATATATTAAATAATAAATACAAATATTTAAAACATTTCTTGATATTTGCATTTATATTTTGCAATAATTAGAAAAGGTTCAATTAAGTTTACTTTTTACTTTCCTGGATCTGTTATATATAACAATATATAACAGGGAAAGTATGGCAACAGGTCAAAAATGACCCCCCAAGATTTTTAATTTTTGGACTGGAGAAACCTTGAAACGTTTGAGAAATGCAAAAAATAGCGGGTTTTTTCCTATATGTTTGTTCTATATGGATGCTAGTAGCAGGATTTTTCACCCACTTCGAAGCTTAATAACTCAGGTTCCTTTTGTCAAAAATTTCTGAAATTTTGTAGGGAGGTTTGTGTATTAGAGAGAAATGTTTTTAGAAATTTTCAGAAAAATCAGACTGTTGGTTAGGGAGTTATGGCTCCATCCTGTAATATCTCCCGAAGACTTACCGTATAAAGATTATTAGGGATAAATAAAGAAAAAATGCCAGAAAAGACAGGTAACAACATTGTCAGCATTTCTCAGTTAGATAACGCATTCTCAATAAATTAAAATGTCCATTTTCTAGTAATAATGTGAAAAAGTTTTTCCTAATTGTAAAGAATATATCAAGTACACAGCGCTAGCTCTGTAAATGTTATTTCGCTTAAGTTCATGCACGTGTAAATCCATCAATGATTCTTTATGGACAGGAGAAAATTAAGAATTACTCAAACACTTTCAAACCCCTATCTTGCTCTGTAACAAAAGTAGAAAAATATTTGTTTAGAACACCTGAAGATGAATGTATGCTAGTGTTATTTGCTTGTCATAAATGACAGAACAGTTATTTGTTTTCTCTGGGAAAGAAAACTGTTTTGTTCCTGGCGATTGGACATGATGAAACTGAAGATGACTTAGTTTCTTCTATACTTTTAAATTGAGTTATTTCTTTTCTTACCAACGTAAAATATTATTTCTTTAATGTATGCAAATTTTTATAGGTAGCATTATAATTATTTCCAGCACTGTGCATCATGCTACAGGTTTGATGTCTAGTGTATATCCGTCGGTCTTAGAATTTTAAATAGAAAAAGTAATCGCTTTTGATATTGGAAAGGATGCTGTAATATAACGCACAGCCCTGGATATGTTCCTGGGTATAATCTGGACTAAGGAGGTGAAGAGTGTTATGGCATTGAGATGATGCTGGTCTAAATATTATAATTTTCTTGAAGGCGTTTTATGTGAAAATTCATATATGTATTAACTACGTACCAATAGTGACTATTTATATTTGTAGTTAAATTTTAATTTTAAAAAAAGTATTGGTATTCAGTGTCTACTTTTGTGTTAGTGGCATTCCAACCCTAGCGTTATGCGGTGGCACCTTAGAGAAAGAGTTATATTCTTTGTCAACACAGAATTGGTGCTATTATTGAGAGTCACTGGTGAAAAGTGATAACCTTATTTGATCCTAGTGTTAAGTTTTAGAGGTAAAAATTTGATTACATATTAATTGAATATAAGAATTTTTTGTGGGTTGGCTGCACCTACCCTATGGGCTATTGAATGGCGGTCTAGATAACTGGTTTTCGGTACTATCTGTGACATTTTATGGATAAAATGTGTATTTTCTGTAAGAGAGAAATATATTCTCTAAAATTATAAATATTTTCTAATAGTATCTAATTCGTTTTTTTGTTCTTTCAGGGTATAATTGTTTAATCAGTTCAATATCACAGATGTAAGAGGGAATTTTCAAACTTTTAATTTTTCCTTTTCTTGTGTGATTTGACAAACAATCTGTTTAATTGATCTAAACTAAAAACCCAAGGTATTAGACAAAACAAAAAGTAATGTTAATCAGGAATGCAGAGCATTTTCAGGACCCAAAATTTCTCGAAAAATTATTGCACAAAATAAACCAACAACTTACAAATCAACTAATACTACTACCATACAGATTAGAAAATTCATATTTAATCATACAAATAATTAAATAGTCCTGCCATATAATTTGCCAAACAACACTAAATCCATAAATTAATATAAAAGTTTTTAAATTAAAAATTTGCTTTAATTTAACCACGTGTCGTCATCATGGGATAATATATACAACTATACACTCAGCATAATACAGTAATACCCCGTTCGCACCTAGCATTTCGATCTAGATTGTTCCGCAGTGCGAACAATCTAGATCAGTTCCAGTTCTGCGGTGCGAACGCTCTCGACCGTTTCAATCTCGACTGAAACGAGGTTCAATCGCGATCGACTGGAGAGAGTTCTCGAAACTAGACTCAGTTATAAGAGAGATCCCACAATCCCAAGCGCGCGAGAAAATACAAGATGGCTGCGGAACACATGTTGGGCTATCGACATAGAAATAAAAAAGACATTTGGAGAGATGACGACATCTGTCTATTATTATATGTATGGCAAGAATAAGTATTTATTTCTAACCAAAACTTCCATTTTGTTTGTTGGTGTTCATGACTTACCGCGTAGTTATGTCAGTTTTATCATAGCGTGTAATAGCCAGGTTCTTCTCGAGTGGACTGCCTGTGCGAACAGCACGACGTTCGACTAGTGACGGTCACAATCCAGATTGTAGGTAAATCAAGATCGAAGTGAGTCGTGGATTGTGTGCGAACGTAGTATAAGTCCTGTACAATGCGGGGGATTCGTTACGCATTATAGGAAATCGCGTTATCGAAACCTGCATTATCACACAATTTCAAATTTATGAGTTCACCTATATGTACTGTATCTCCTCGTTTGGAACTAAACATACCATATAAACGTCACTTTGAAGTTCAATTTGCACATTGACATTTTATGGCTGATAGTGACCGGTGAATTTGTGTATTGATTACTTTCATTCTAAAGTAGATAGAAATGGCAAAGAAGAGAAAGTAAAGAATTTGTTGATGGCAGGAAAGAATTCATCAAAAAGACTGTAGAGGAAAGCAAACAGAAAAAGTCAGAAATTTGTTGAATATTCTTTCTATATATCTGAAAAACAAGTTTTGGAAAGCTTCAATGAACAACAGAATTAGACAGAACATTAAAGTAAGTATAAATGTGAGTATCCTGATGCTGAAAAGTGCATGATTTTTACAATGTAAGAACAAGAGTATTAATGTTGATTGAAACCTTGTTAGAGAAAAAACTGAAAAGTATATTAAGACACCCAATTGAAAGCAAGAACTGGGTGGTTGGATAAATTTAAGAAGAGGAATGAAATAATTTTTAATAAAATTTGTGGTAAAAGTGCAAAGAACAAAAAAAGTATTATGCCAAGTAGTTGAAAAGTTTACCAGGAATTGTACAGAACTATAGCCCATATGATGTTTTTGACAAGGCTTATTTTCTAAATGCCTGCCAGACAAAACAATGATGTTCAAAGATGATTTCTGTCATGACATTAAAAAAAAAAAATATATATATATATATGTAACTTCTTTTAGGAGTGAACATGACAGGCAATGAAAAATTGTCATTGTTATTATTTGTAGAATCTTTAAAGCCTTCATATTTCCACAATGCCAAGATGTTACCTATGCAATGTGCAGAAAATAAGAAAGCATGGATGACATCAGAGATTTTTTTCTAACCAGCCGGAAAATTATACCCCTGCATGATTGCTAAAAACAAAAATTATTCTTTTTTATAAACAGTTACATATTCGATGATTCCCACTCTGACAGCTATAAAGGTTCAATTTTACAACTTCTAAATTGTAACTGTTAGATCACGGAATCATTCAAAATTAAATTATGATACAGAAAGCTAATCATATGAAAAATGCTGCATGTTATAGGATTGATCATGTAAGTATGGAGTGAATCAGATAGATGCAACACAAATGATTAACAAAAATTGGAATAAAGTTCCATACAGCACCATTGAAAACTGCTTTCCAAAAACAATTTGTTGATACTTTGAATAAAATCAGAATTTCCTTCAGAATCTGCTGACTATATCAAAGAAGATTAAATTGAGTCAATCCCATTATAGCAACAAGTGATGAAAAAGTATCATTCAAACATTTTGTCTACATTGACAATGACCTAGCTGTCTGCAGACATTTATCAAAAAGAACATTATTGCTAAAATAAACGACCAAGTGTAAGAAACAATTAATGAAAATGAAAAAGAAATAAATCCTATCAAGACAAATACAAGGAGTGCTGTACAATATGGGGATACATTCTGTGTTGTTATAGGAAATCATGATAACATGATTTCCTATAACAACACAGAATGTATCCCCATATTGTACAGCACTCCTTGTATTTGTCTTGATAGGATTTATTTCTTTTTATATACCAGAGGTATATATATATATACATATACACACACCTCTGGATGACAAAATTAAAATTTTGTATGAGTACTAGTTACAATTTTTTTCAAAGAAATAACACCTAAACACAATTTCAAGCAAATAAGTAAAAAATTTTACTGGTCAAATACTTTCGGCCACAGTTTATTGGCCCCGATCAGGTACAAATACAAAAAACAGTTCTATTTATCGAATGGTGCCGCATTCTAATTTAGGTGTTATTTCTTCGAGTACTACAGTTCCAGTTTATATGTGTGCAGTTTTTGTTTTTTTGTTTTACATTTTTTTTTGTTGCATTATATGAATTTACTTTATAGAGGAGTGCATTATACAGGAGTTCACTGTATTCTGCTCTCCTTACATATAGGGATGCCAGAGAAGCTCAAGCTTTTAAAGAGCTTTCTAGAAACTATATCATTTATAAAACATGATGATTTCAAAGCGGTTAAAATAATAGTAGTATTTGTAACTCAAGATTTCATTAACTTGAAAATTTTTCTCTATCCTTTCCACTCCAAGTTATCAAAAATTTTATCTATTTAATATAGAATAATGATATGAGAAACCACCAAGTCTATAAAATATACACATTAAATTTACAAGAGTTTGCTCTTTGAATTAGAAAGGATTTGCTCTGAATGTATTGTAAAATAATAAGATTTTATGATTATATATTTCAATTTGGTAAGAAACTTACGCGAATTCTATTAAATTTTTCTAATAATGGTATATAAAATTACACATCATCAAAAGTTAATGTATAAAAATGTATTTATAGCATGCAAAAATTTTTATATTCCATAAAAGAAAAAGTCTTACCTGCCGTGTCAAAACAAAATATGCATACATTGCCATAGTAGTACCATATGTTATAAAATAAGTAACAGGTTCCATTATATCCCAAGAGTATTCCCACCAAGTTAGACGTGCGAGGATTCCAAACTGAACACCCATCAATCCAAGGCCCAACCACGAGAGTATTGTTGTACGTTTTTTAGCTTCAGACATTAAACCTTCTTTTTGCTGAAAATAAAACATAACAAATTATTATTTTAATTTTATGTATATAACAGTTAAAAAATAATTACACATGTTAACACATGTTTTAAAGACAATTTGAAAAGAGGTGCAGGTTATGTGGCTGGTGGTTTATACTCCAGTTTTAAATTGCAATTACAATATTGTACCTATGGATCAATAGCTGTTCCATAGTTACAGAGAATACAGTGGGGTGAGTTTGGGTTATGGAAATGTTTAATTTCTATTTTAGTAATTTTTTGTGGATGCTGTCACAGAATAAAATCACAAAAATGCAGTAATAATGACTAAATTACTACTAGTATACATCTTTTAAATATACAGTATATATATTTTTCTTATTTATAAACTAATCAATTTGTGGAAATCTATAAGTAAGCTGTCTTAAGATGACTTATTTAACAATAGTTTTCTACAATTCATAGTCTAATTTTCCATGGGTACTAGTTACAATTTTCATCATAAATCAAGACTCCATGTTCTGAAATAAAGTTTGAATTATATAATACCATGTAGGAAAGGCCAGCATAAAATATAGCAGTTAAGTATAAAAATTCATAAAACATAATATGGTATATATACCATTTATAAAAATAGAACACCATAAAGTGGACAAGATCTACTGTATTTAATTTTATTATTATTCAAGTTAGTATAAATTATAGTAACTCATCCTCCGAGCCATCCCATGCGAGCAGCACATCATCCACATACCACAGATATAGAAGGGGGTAATGTATACAAAGTGAGGATCAAAACACTTTGAATTCTATGGCTCTAATAACTAACACAGCTAAGATAGTTGAAAGAGATGAGGCACTCCCTGTTTCTGTAAATAAAAACTACCGTTGAAACAAAAACAGTTATTTTCAGTAACTAATAAAAGAGTTTCCCTTAAGCCCAGTGTCTGCAGTATGGAGTACCATTCTCAATCAACAGAGTGATTGTAAGTACGACTACCTCAAAATGGGGAAGAGACGGGTATAATGAGACCACATATATTTTGTAAAAACAGTAAGAGTGCCTAATGTCCCTCTAGTGCCAAATTCATTTGTAATTCGTAATTATTATTTTCAAAATATAGCCTGATTATTTATGGTAGTTGTGGGTGTCTATTTGTTCAGTTGATGTTTATATGAAAATAAATCACCCTAACAGCTTCTGTGTCTGTCTACTGGGACACAGTGGTGTCATCATCAAAGAGGTGTCAATCCTAAGGTCACACATGTATGAAAGTGATTGAGAAAGTTTAAATTAAATAAAACTTTTTGAATCTAAACATATCATTGTATTTGTAAAGTAACTTATTTTATTGGCATTAAGAGAAGAACACCATATTTGTGTGATTGATTTGAACCCCATCTCATCTCTCTAAGGTCCCATTTGTAATAATATTTAGATTAGCAATGAATCTGAATTTTTGATGGAGACTTTAGCTGCAATGATAACACTGAATAAGTATTGATGTTAACCATGTAATTTTCCTAAATTTATTAAAAGAAAATAAAAATGTATTTTTTAAAATGAATAGTGCCACATATTTTATTAAGCATTAATCATTAATTTATTTTCTGCTTTGTCAATTGACGAGAGTGTCCCCCTTTAACATTTTCAGTTCTTGTCAACTTGTATTAGGAAAATCTGAGATGCCAAATACGAGGTATTCTACATGTTTAGAACTATTCTATCTTATTCTGGTTGCATTCTCTTGACAATGGAATTGCAAATAGACAAACTGTGGCACTCCAAATCTCTCTCTATCAATCTGCAATTTTGTAAACTTCACTAATGATAATGCATACATGGTGGCCATATGTGTGGTCTTGAAAACTGTGCCCCATTATTTCCATTACTATTTATATTTGACTTATGACAAGAGTCCCTGAATATAAAAAAAATACAAAACATCTAAGAAGGATTATTATTTTTTAATAATATAATACATGATTTGTATTTTGTTAATCTTTGTAGTTATGAGAAGTCAAGAGTAATGTATTGATTAATTATTATTATATTTAATTATTATTTTGAATGCATTATCATCTCTAAATTTATAATAGTAATGTAATTTATTAAATCTAATTTGATATATTTTTAAAACCCTTTAATATAGGTTTATCATGACTTCATGAAGAAAGGAGCCTGACATATTTGGATCCAGGGGTGGAGGGGGCATCAGAAATTGGAAATATCCAAATTTCAAGTAGGACTGGTCCATTTATATTCTTAGGACCCCATACCGATCCATATATTTTCCATGCTGCTTGAACAAATCTATGCTTTTGTCTGGGCCAGACCACACAGATTCTTGAGAGTCTGATCCAATTCAAACTTGAGTTTTCAAAGTGGCAGGTAGAAGCCTTAGCTACATTGCAATATAACTTCAATTTAAATTTAAATTTAAAACTATTCATTTAAGATAAAATATATTTAATTCTATTCATAATATTAGATATGATATATACATTTTACTTAATTTAAATGTTATACTGGTATAACATTTAAATGTTAATTTAAATGTTATACCAGTAGAAAAAGTTTAACTGTTTGTATGTTTTCAAATAAACTAGTCAAAATTAAGAGCATATATAAAATTACAACCTTATAAAACTCCTTAAGAGTTTTATAAGGTTGTAATAAGTAATATGTTTTCACCAATAATTTCATATCCATTTGTAATTAGATAGAAATAATAAATCCATACATACTGCTTCTAAAGGTTCTAATTCTTGTTTTAATAGTTCCAGTTCACATAAAAGTTTTCTTTCCCTCTCCAACTGAAATTGGTCCACATGAAGTACTTCATATAATCTAGCTACTTGAGATTTAACATCCCATAATGTTTGCATTTCTTCTGAAGTTAACTTCCCTAAAAATAAGAAAAATAAAACTCTTAAATTCATTCAAAAATATTAAAATGTATACAACTTGAACAAATCCTAAAACCTATAATGCAGTATAATTTTCAATGTACAGTAAAATCAGAGGAAAATTATTCTTTGAAATCAAATATGATATAATGAAAACAATAGCTTTCATTATATCTCACTTATACACTACTAATACTGTATATCATATATGTAGGGTTGTTGCCATCACTTACATTCATGGCAACAATTTTTGTGCAGGCAAAAATACATTGTTATACAAACATTTCAAAATACACATATGAAAAGACACAGTGTACTCTACGAATACTGTCTATTAGATGGATTTACTTGAGAAGTGTTGTAGACAAGGGAAAAAAGCAAAAAACAGAACTGGAACAATGAGTGTCAAAAAATGGTTTCAAACATTTACGAGGCACCTGTTGTTTATCGGATTATGTTAACAGCTGCATTAACATATGAAAATTAGCAATCTAAAGTGGTGATTGATCAATTACTCACTAATGGAATTTTATTGCAATAGAAAAGTTGAGATGAGGTCACTGGAAGCAACAGCATTCTTTCACCAGAGAATGATTTCAAAACTATTCTGTTGATGTCATTGGCATTGTAATGCAGAGGACACCACAGTGTAACCTCTAACCTATATATTTTCGGATGGAGATGAGGAGAGTCACTTTTTCACTCTTTTCTTTTGTGAGATGATTGTCTATAGCAGTGGCGTGCCATGACATTTGATGATAGGGAAGCTGTGTTTCCATGAAAGTTTTAAACAAATACTGGAAATGACAAAAATAAACAGTTTATTTATTTTAATTCTAAAATAGATAATTGACACAAAACAAAGACATAAGAACTTATTTTTATTATTTTTGATAAACTAACTCTATTTGGAAATATTTCCCCACAAAGTTGTTAATTACTTTATCATAAAAATCGCTTGTCGTCAATTCAGTCAAAGTATTTAAATGCTCTTTTTCTATTGAAAGCAATGCTGAGGATGACAATTTTTCCTCCGACTGAGTGTTCCTTGCAGATGTATTGATTCGCTTCATGGGTGAAAAACTGCACTCAACAGATGCACTGGTAGACGGTACCATAAAAATTAATGATATTAAATCATATAATTCTTTTAGTATGTTTTTGTTCAGATTGTCATTAATTATATTATTTTTTATATCTAAGAGTGACTTGCCAATATAGTTTGGACATGAATACATGAATATAAATATTGCAATTCACTACATTATTTAGATAAATGAAAAAAATTCTCCATAAAATTTACTTAATTTAAAAAATTAAAACTTGCTTCAGAAAATTGTTTTTCATAATATCTAAAAGTGATAAAAATTCTAAAGATTTTATTTTTGAAAATCAGTCAATATAATTATAATTAAATATAGCTTTTGTAAAGAAATGTACATAAAAATAATATTGAATATTCTTTACTTTTTATCTTAATCTTAAAACAATGCACTTAGTCAAATAGCTCCCTAAGAGAGGCTAATAGATAGAATCGTTGGGAGCATTATACGATATTTTGGTATGTAGCATCTATGAACTAAACCATCAGAGGTTGGTGCTCTGTAAAGAAAGAGCATGCGCAAATATCCATAATCTGGCTGCTTTACATGATTCAAATATTTTTGCCATGGAAGATATCCCATATTTGACAGTACAGAGCTTCCATTGGGAATATGCATATATGAATTTATATTTGCATCTTATCATTGCAATCTTATCATTGTTTTTCACATGTATATAAATTTGCAATAAAATACATAATGCAGTTATAATAAAATATTAATTTTAAGTAATTCAAAATACATTACAATATGAAAATAACTGCAAATATGTATTTATATTTTAGAAAATACAAGGGAAGCGGTGCTTCCACAGCTTCCTCGGACAGCACGCCACTGGTCTATAGCAACATCATCTCTGTCCTGTATCTTGTCAGTTCCTCTGTAGATATTGCATGGTTGGTTAAAATAAAAGTCAAATTATTGTCTAGACTGTTGTCTTACTACAACCTTACCATTGGAACAAAGCCACACAGATACATGGTCAGGGTTGACACTGAATAGCTCAACAAGATAGGACAAATTTACATTATCCAGTTTCATGTTGACACATACTACATTACAGGTACCTTGATGCCATAACATATATTCCACCATGGTTCCATGCAAATGAAAACTGTCATTTAGATTACAATCAAAATTTTATATCAAAAAGTTATTTTTTCCTCCAAAAAATTTATTTTTGTTCACAAAATACAGATTGTGTTCTGTTGCGAAATATTTCACTACACAGTTTCCTATCACATGCTGCATAAATAACATCTAATTAAAGTAAGTATTTAAATAATATGCCATGCTCTGTTCCCAAGTTTTTAAGCATAGTAAAGTATTGCATTTAAACAGTTTATGGTAGGGTTCAAGACTTTCATTGGATGCCTCAAATGCATAATCTACCATTGCTGATTGTAATACCTACGAATATCACGAAATACTATAATATAAACCCTATGAATGTTAAAGCTTTATTATATATAGTCCAGTATATGTCTGTCGTCTTCAACAATTAAAATAGTGACTAATGGTCTTTTGCTCAACTACAAAGTAATAAAAAATTCATCATTCAATTTCTCATTCACTGTTACGTATGTAAATAATAAATGATATGATAAAAAAGTGATAAAATGAAGATGTAAGAAACAGAGACAGATAATCAAAAATCATTGAGTCAAGCAATATCTAAACTGATACAAAACAGGAGAGAAGTAAAAGGAAAAAAGGAGGAGGAAGAGAAGAAAAAAAGTTTCTTCTTCACTTGCATATTGGCTCACATCTGCATAATTTCAGTCTTTNTATATTTATATATATATAATCTATTGTAAAATCCTTGTATCTCTACGCATAGATTAATTGACCACGTTACCTGAGTGACGCTCGCTTCGGTCGGATTGTCCGTTTAACCTATATATATATATATATTTATATATATATTTTTGGGGTGGTTCTACAGCGAAATCACAGATCGATCGATGTACAATTTCTGTTGGGCTTAATCGTGACAATAATAATAATAACAACAACAACAACAACAACAATCCTAAGATCGAAATTTAAGCTCTTTCTGTTGTTATTTATGTGTTGTTCGTCGTGTATCGGGTATTAAATTTTCTATCCGTAACAAAATCTACCTCCTTTTATTATTATTATTATTTTAATCGACCGTAGCTTTAATATAGCTAAACGTAAATAGCTAACACTTACGAGATAGATAGATAGAGTATAGAAATGTATGGATAGAGAAAGATAAGAGAGAGATAGATAGAGAGAGAGAGAGAGATAGAAAAAAAAAACCGAGCAGCATCGATCCTCTCGAATCAGAGAAACACCTGCAGTAAAGACACCCTTACTGCTAGATATAATGCATTTGTTTATTTATGTATAAATGCTGTGTATTCGTGTTCGGTGAGGCTGTTTTCTTTTGTGTGTCGAGTGTCTGTATAATTTACTCTACTCACAGTCAGATATGATTCAACGTAGAAGATATGACGAGTGTTGTTAAGGTAAGTCAATAGGGAAAAGTGTAGACGAATTTCCGTGCATTAGGTTTACATACATTCCACCTTTTACAGTTAAGGAATATTTGGAGAGGGGGAGGGAGAATATTTAACGAAAATACAGTAGAATTCAACTCAACGAATCTCTTAGAATTAGTACCATAGTATCCCTGAGATAATTCTACGTTAAAACGGAATACTAATATATAAACTAAACCCAAATTTCTACTTTAAAAACACCAATAAATAATCATAATAAATGATTAAGTAACGAAGTGTTCGATTAACCAATCAGAGACGGCACGTGAAACTTTCAAAAACCCCTAAACCGCACCCGTACCGATAACATAAATAAAAAGAAAACATCCGTTCTGTATTGTACATTTTTAACCGTCCTACAATCGAATATTTTAAGGCAAAAATGTATTACTTTATCACATTTTAAACGTGCCTACTTCTAAAAATGTCCGATTTAAACTAAAGTAATGCATTTCTTAAAGAAAAACATTAAAAAAAAAAAAAAAATGAAAGCAATAACTATAGCATCTCGAGTAGGCATTAAATTATAATGGTATAAGTACAGTAACACGTAAGCGTGCGTACATTTAACTCACGTGACAGTATACACACGCACGCGAGCACGAAATAAACAAAGGGATGTACAACGAAATGCATTACAAAATAAGAAGAGTAAATTTTTCTTTTTAATTTGCTATCTATGATCATTTAATTACGTTCGACGGTACTAATTATTATTATTATTATTATTTTTTTTTTTAACAATCTGTACAAACTCAACAATAGAAAATATAAGTATCAACAAGTCAATTTGTAATAATTTTTCAATGATATATTATTACAAGAGAGATTTTATATATATATATATATAT